AACTCTTCTTAGTTACAGCCAGCCTGGCCCAGATGCAGCACCAGGTCCTCCAGAGCGGGTCAGAGGGAACAAGGTGAAAGCCAACACGAGCGTGGAGGGTGAGGCCGTGAGCCCTGTTGTCTGCCAGAAGGCCCACAGACACGGGACAGGAAAGCAATGGGCTTGTCCCAGTCGACCGCACAGTGAGGACACAGTGAACTCATCCCCACAGCCATGAGCACTCTTGTCAGCACCAAGCTCCAATTTTACAGCCTGAGTCAGCGGGCAGAGGGACACTGTGCATTTAATAGCCTGACATTGTACAGAGGGACACTTTGCATTGCCCTGGCCTCAACCCTGCTGATTTATTCGGGCTACCTCAGAGTAAAAGACAAGAACTCTCAAGCATCTGGCTCTGGGTAACTTACTTCTAATCCTCTCTTTTGAAGACAATGATAAAACACCATTTTTCACTGATCCAATTGACAAAGACTGAAAAGATAAACCACACCCAGTATTGACCGGAGGATTTCGAAAAAGCAGGTCTCTTTACAGCTGATAGAAGTGCAAAATGTACCATTTTTTCTGAAGGGCAATTTGGCAAAGCTTTAAAAATTCACCTGTCCTTTGGCCCTGTAATCCTTCTCCTATAGTGATATGCACTGGGTTCTTGACACAAACTTGTCCTTCACAGAGTTGTTCGTAACTGCCCCAAAATGAAAACTGCTGAATTATTCATCAAGAGGAAACTGCTTCATTCAATGATGGACTATCAGTCAGCCATTCAAAATCATGTTGGGGCTGGGCACGGTGGCTCACACCTGTAATCCCCGCACTTCGGGAGGCCAAGGCAGGCGGATCACCTGAGGTCGGGAGTTCGTGACCAGCCTGACCAACATGGAGAAACCCTGTCTCTACTAAAAATACAAAATTAGCCGGGTGTGGCGGCACATGCCTGTAATCCCAGCTACTCAGGAGGCTGAGGCAGGAGACTCATTTGAACCCGGAAGGCGGAGGTTTTGGTGAGCCGAGATCGCACCATTGCACTCCAGCCTGGGCAACAAGAGCGAAACTCCGTCTCAAAAAAAAAAAAAAAAAATCATGTTGGGGGCAGGGTGCAGTGGCTCACACCTGGAATCCCAGGACTTTGGGAGGCTGAGGAAGGTGGATCACTTCAGTCCAGGAATTTGAGACCAGCCTGGGCAACACAGCGAGATCCCATCTCTCAAAAAAAATTTTTTTTATTTAGTGTGTTGGCACATGCCTATGGTCCCAGCTACTAGGGAGGCTGAGGTGAAAGGATCACTTGAGCCCAGGAGTTGGAGACCAGCCTAGGCAATAAAACAAGACTCTATCTCTTTAAAAAAAAAAAAAATTAGCTGGGCATGGTAGTGTGCACCTGTAGTCCCAGCTATGTGGGAGGCTGAGGCAGGAGGATTGTTCGAGCCCTGGAATTCAAGGCTGCAGTGAGCTATGATTATACTATGGTTATGCCACTGCACTCCAGCCTGGGCAACAGAACCAGAGCCTGTCTTTAACAACAAGAAGAAAATCACATTGGGAAGAATATTTACTCACACAGGAATGTTCATGAGAGATCAAGAGACAAAGTAACTTAAATCCAGAATGATTTGCATTGATATAACCTGGCTTGATAAGCTTTTCCACATTGAGGATTGTCCCCTTGGAACAGTCCCCATTGGAACCTAGCTACTATGCTATAAGGAAGTCCAGGCTATCCTTCAGGAGACAGAGGAGGATGCGACACCATATGGAGAGAATGGCCTAGTCATGTGTCCGGCTGAATGCCACTGCATGAGTCACCCCAGCTGCCATCATGTGGGACAGAATTGACCAGTCAATCCACAAAATCATGAGACATAATAAGCTGTTGCTGTTTAAAGCCACTAAGTTTTCAGATGGTACTCTTTTTTTCTTTTTTCTTTTCTTTCTTTTTTTTTTGAGATAGAGTCTCACTCTGTCGCCCAGGCTGGAGTGCAGTGGCGCAATCTTAGCTCACTGCAACTTCCACCTCCTGGGTTCCAGTGATTCTCGTGCATCAGCCTCCCACATAGGTGCAATTACAGGCATGTGCCATCACACCCAGCTCATTTGTTTTTTTTTTTTTTTTTTTTTTTATGAGACGGAGTCTTGCTCTGTCGCCCAGGCTGGAGTGTGGTGGCACAATCTCAGCTCACTGCAACCTCCACCTCCTGGGTTCAAGTGATTCTCCTGCCTCAGCCTCCCGAGTAGCTGGGACTACAGACATGTGCCACTATGCCCGGCTACTTTTTGTATTTTTAGTAAAGACAGGGTTTCACCACGTTGGCAAGGATGGTCTTGATCTCTTGACTTCGCGATATGCCCGCCTCGGCCTCCCAAAGTGCTGGGATTACAGGCGTAAGCCACTGAGCGGGCCCCTTTTTGTATTTTTAGTAGAGACAGGGTTTCGCTGTGTTGGCCAGGCTGGTCTTGAACTCCTGGCCTCAGGTGATCCACCTGTCTCGATCTCCCAAAGTGCTGGGATTACAAGTATGAGCCACCGTACCCAGCTTGACATGGTTAATCTACAGCAATAGATAGCTGTGGCACCTTGTTTGTGTTCCTAGATTTTCAGAATGCACACAGACCACAAGAGCAGAAGCACCTGTGTGGAGCATTCAGCTTAGTTGTGCACACCTGGAAGGCAAAGCTTTAAGTGACTCCAACTTACTGAGCCTCCACCACTGGCCAGTCATTGTGCAGCTTCCACAAATACCATCACGTACTACGTACTTAATAAGTATTTATGGAATAAGTGAATACATGTCTTAGTTAACACACACTGTAGCCCTGGGAGGTAGGAATTGTTTTATTACTAATATTGTTATTTTCTTTTTTTTTTTGAGACAGAGTTTCACTCTTGTTGCCCAGGCTGGAGTGCAATGGCACAATCTCGGCTCACTGAACCCTCCACCTCTCAGGTTCAAGCAATTCTCCTGCCTCAGCCTCCCTAGTAGCTGGTATTACAGGCATGAGCCACCATGTGCCCAGCTAATTTTGTATTTTTAGTAGAGATGGGGTTTCTCCATGTAGGTCAGACTGTTCTCAAACTCCTGACCTCAGGTGATCCACCCGCCTCAGCCTCCCAAAGTGCTGGGATTACAGGCGTGAGCCACTGCGCCTAGCGGAACTGTTTTATTATTACTTAACTGATACCCATTCATTGCAGAAAAATGCGATATTACAAAAAAGGAAAAAAATAATTACCCCTAATTCTACTCTCCATAGTTCATTTAACATTTAGCATATATCTACAGAAGTCCAAATATATTACATATGCATATTTACTTTTAAAAATGTGATAAACATATTGCTCTGCAACCTGCTTTTTTCCCTTCAAAAACACTTTTTGACTTTCTTACCATGTCAATGAATGTAGAGTCGCCGTTCAACAACATTTTTGTGGTTTTGTTTTGAGACAGGGTCTTGCTCTGACACCCAGGCTGGAGTGCAGTGGAGTAATCTCAGCTCACTGCAACCTCCCCTTCCCAGACTCAAGGGATCCTCCCACCTCAGCCTCCTGAGTAGCCAGGACTACAGACATGCGTCATCATGCCCAGTTTATTTTTGCATTTTTTGTAAAGATGGGGTCTTGCCACGTTGCCCAGGCTAGTCTCAAATTCAGGCTCAAGTGCTCTGCCTGCTCGGTCTCCCAAAGTGCTAAGATTACAGGCGTAAGCCGCTACCATGCCCGGATTTCAACAACATTTTTGTTTGTTTTTGAGACGGAGTCTCACTCTGTTACCCAGGCTGAGACAGGAGAATTGCTTGAACCTGGGAGGCAGAGGTTGCAGTGAGCCAAAATCAGGTCATTGCACGCCAGCCTGGGTGACAAGCGTGAAACTCCGTCTCAAAAACAAACAAAAACTCCCTTTTTGGTGACAGCTGGCTTAAATGCATTGATGCTTGCAACCAAAATATCCTAACAATCACTACTTTAAGGAAATAGGGAAGATAGGACTCCCAGCCACAAGACCAGGCCTCTGGGAACCAGTTAAAAGAACCACGCAGGACAGACTGCTGCCTGAGCACTCTCTGTAAGTAAAGACTATACCAGTCACTTTACAATACCAGGTGCACAGGCTGGAATGTAAGCTCCTTGAGGGGAGGGCTCTATAGCCAAGCAGTCAAAGCCCTCCATGATGTGCTTTCTACCTCCCAGCCCCAGCCCCAAATGTCGGGTTGGGCACTGGCCAGGTTGTAATGTGCAATTCTAAAGCCTCCCCAGCTGTCACAACTATAAATCTAAGTCAGCGTTCCAGCCCGCCAGGAAGATGGTATAACACGTTCTAGAAGCGGCATTGGGTTTTCCAAGTACCTTCATCCCCATTGTCTCCTGTGATCATCCCAACAGGGTCCACCAGCCCAACTTTAGGGGCATGGAAATGAGGGAGGCAAAGGGGTTAAGCAACCTGCCTGAGGGGTAGGTGAATACAAGAACTGTGACTTAAATTCAAGTCTGAGCCAACCATGCCACTGGGAGAAGGATCGAATAACACTTGATCTTTATTATCGTAGTTTTAAAGATGAGGAAACTTTAAATGAGATACCTAGAGTAGTCAAATTCACAGAGAAAGTAGAACAGGGGTTGCCAGGGATTAGGGGTAACAGGGAATGGGAAATTATTATTTAGTGGGTTCAGAAGATGGATGATGGCAATGGTTGTACAACAGTGTGAATGCACTCAATGACACTGAACTGTAATCTTAAAATAGGTAAAATGGTAAATTTTATGTCATGTAGTTTAATTTTTTTAAGTGAGGAAATTGAGGTCTAATAGCATAAAGGTGTAGAGCAGATTTTTTTTTTTTCTCCTGGGATGGAGTCTTGCTCTGTCACCCAGGCCGGAGTGCAGTGGCACGATCTCAGCTCACTGCAACCTTTGCCTCCCGGGTTCAAGCAATTCTCCTGACTTAGTCTCCTGAGTAGCTGGGATTACAGGCACCTGCCACCACGCCCAGCTAATTTTTGTATTTTTAGTAGAGACGGGGTTTCACCATGTTGGCCAGGCTGGTCTCCAACTCCTGACCTCGTGATCCACCCGCCGCAGCCTCCCAAAGTGCTGGGATTAAGGGCATGAGTCACCATGCCCAGCCTTAGACTAGATTTTATGCAAAGTCTGGGGACAAACCAGGTTTAATTCTTAGCTCGGCCACTTGCTGACCTGCTCCACCTTGCGAAAATCACTCTGAAACTGTGCTTCAGTTTCCTCCTTTGAGAAATAGGACAAAAAATAGTAAATCTAGAATTCATTATGAGAATTAAATGAGATATTAATAACCCCATACCAATCACTTACCTGGCACATAGTAAATTAGTAACACATACAACATTATTATGACGAGGTTTCTCAAACCAGAGCAAGAACAGTCTTTCAGATGCTTGAAAAGTCTTGGCACTTATCTGTTGCAACCCCTTTGTTACAAAGCCGAAGAGACTGAGGGACAATGACTTGCCTGAAGTCACCCAGTCAACTTGTAACAGAGCCCAGAGTTGAACCAAACCACTCTTCTCTGAGTCCAGAGATCCCCAGCTCCAGCCAGCTCACAGTGCTTTCCCTTTTTAAAGAACTAAACTGCTGTGGATTTGAGGCATGAATCTCAAGCCTCGATGTGGAAAGCAGGGGCTCCTGTGGCCAACTGATTCTCACTCTCCCTCTTGCAAAGCATGAGTCAGTCCCAGTATAATGTGTGAGTCAGCCAGCTCCCCTGTAATGAATGTGCATATGACTGCCAGGTGGCACACAGGTGGGGGCTGGGTGGGGCAAGTGGGCACAGCTAGACACCGGCTGCTCTGTCCGGGCGTAAGCTGTGTGCTTTCTTTCAGATCCAAATTGCTGCATGGTGGTATCTAGAAGTCAGGAGGCCCAGGTTTTACATCTTCAATTTGCTTCCAAATTCTTCCTTCACTGTGATCTCAAGCAAGTGGCTTAATTTCTTTGTGCCTCAGTTTCCACAATTGTGGATACATGAATAATTCTAGTCTTGCCTGCAGCATAAGGTGTGGGGAGGACCCAAAAGGAAAGACATGTGGGAAGGAGTTTTGAAGAGTTACAAAGTTACATCAAAGCCAGGTACAGTGGTGCTGGCCTGTTGTCCCAGCTACTTGGGAGGCTGAGGCAGGAGTATTGCTTGAGCTCAGGAGTTTGAGGCCAGCCTGGGCAACATAGCCAGACCCTATCTCTAAAAAGAAAAAAAAGAAAGAAAAAGTTATATCGGCATGAAAGGCATTGTCATTCCACTTCTCTGGAGAAATATGATTCTAAGAATAAAACAAAACTACGCCAGGCTATTTGTTTTTCCCATCAGTTCTTGGGCTTCTCAGGGTCCCTCTGGTCTCCTTGCTGTTCCCCCAGCCTCAGGGTGCCAGGTTAATTCCTCAGACTCAATACTTGTGGAGGGCTTACTGTGCACTAGGCCCAGGGCCAAGCCATTGAATCCTCCCCAGAGATCTCCAAGGTCAACATTATTCCGGGTCTTAAAAAAAAAAAAAGAGGGCCAGGCGCGGTGGCTCACGCCTGTAATCCCAACACTTTGGGAGACCGAGGCGGGTGGATCACTTGAGGTCAGGAGTTTAAGACCAGCCTGGCCAAATGTGGTAAAACCCCATCTCTACTAAAAATACAAAAAAAGTAGGTGGGCGTGGTGGCATGCACCTGTAATCCCAGCTACTCAGGAAGCTGAGGCAGGAGAATCGCTTGAACCCGGGAGACAGAGGTTTCAGTGAGCCGAGATTGTGCCACTGCACTCCAGCCTGGGCAAAAAGAGTGAGACTCCATCTCAAAAAACAAAAACAAAAACAAAAAAACCACAGATTATTCTGGGCCTTATTTTACAGAGAGAAAACTGAGGCTCACTGGTAATAAGCAACTCACCAATTGCAAAGTGGAGCTTGGCCATGAAGCCAGACGTCTGGACTGTTCCAGAGTTCTGCCCACCCCACGGGGAAGAAAGCTCCTGGGTGAAGCACCATCAGGTTTCTTCTTCCAACCTCACAGACCTCCAGAAAACAATACGTGGAAATCGAGAGGGGCAGATCCCTGCAACCCTGAAGAAAATCAGGCTTTGAGAATGTAAAAAAATGGAAATAATAATAGTTACCACATTTCAAGTATTTACTGTAGGACAGTCACCTGATACACGTTTCCTTACTTCATATTCACAATAATTCTTAGAGGTGAGTACTGCTATTAGCCCCATCTTACAGTTGGGGAAACTGAGATTCAGGTGCGATAACATGCTCAAAGACATATAGCTAGCAGGTCTGTTTCCAGAACCTGTGGTCCGTCCACCACATACCACTGTCAGCCTCCTCCTTCATTCATTCTTTGATTCATTCATTTATTAAACATTTATAGCTTCTTTCTTGTGCCAAATAACTTGCTGGACAGAGGGAAGACAGGAATACCTGAGCCCCAGACCTAGAGGAGGTCATTATCTCAGAGGCAGATAAGGCTTAAATAATTGTAATCTAAGCGATAAGAGCCAGGCAAAGCAAATTGCTTGTACTGGTGCTGGATCAGAGCAGGCAGTGGCAGTTGGAGTTTCTGTTGCTTTTGTTGCTTTCTTTAAAGACAGATAATCTGGCAGCATTTGATTTAACACGTTTCTCTAGAGTCAAGTCATCCATTTATTATTTTTTAATTTTTAATTTTTTTTTTTTTTGAGACGGAGTCTCGCTCTATTGCCCAGGCTGGAGTGCAGTGGCACGATCTCAACTCACTGCAACCTCTGTCTCCTGGGTTCAAGCGATTCTCCTGCCTCAGCATCCTGAGTAACTGGATATTACAGGCGCCTGCCACCATGCCAGGCTAATTTTTGTATTTTTAGGAAAGACGGGGTTTCATCATGTTGGTCAGGCTGATCTTGAACTCCTGACCTCATGATCTGCCCGCCTCGGCCTCCCAAAGTGCTGGGATTACAGGCGTGAGCCACTGAACCCGGCCTACTTATTTATTTTTAGAGATGGGGGGGATCTCACCTTGTTGCCCAGGCCAGACTTGAACTTTTGAGCTCAAGCAATCCTCCTGCCTCAGCCTCTTGAGTAGCTGGGACTACAGGCATGCACCACCACACCTGGCTCCATTTATTTTTTCAATCCAGGTGCTGGCACTCACATTTACTACCTGTGTGATTTTGGGCAAATTACTTCCCTGAGCCTCGGTTTTCTCCTTTAGAAAACAGAGAGAAAAAGGCCAGGTGCAGTGGCTCACGCCTGTAATCCCAGCACTTTGGGAGGCCAAGGTGGGCAGATCATGAGGTCAGGAGTTCGAGACCAGCCTAACCAACATGATGAAACCCCATCTCTACTAAAAATACAAAATTTAGCTGGGCGTGGTGGTGCGCACCTGTAATCCCAGCTACTCGGGAGGCTGAGGCAGAAGAATCTGTTGAACCTGGGAGTCGGAGGTTACAGTAGGCTGAGATCGTGCCACTGACTCCAGCCTGATGACAGTGAGACTCCATCTCAAAAAAAAAAAAAGAAAAAGAAAATAGAAAAATACTCATTTCATGGAGTTGCTGTTGGAATTAAATTAACTGAAATATTGTATTCCTTCATTCAACAAAAATGTATGAGACCCAGTGTGAGCCAGGTGCTGTTTTTGGTGCTGGGGACACTGGAAGAAGCAGATGGAGACACTCCCTTGGAATCATGGAAATATTTTAAGTTAGAAAAAATTAATTGAAGCAAAATATGCATACAGAAGAGTACGAAAATCAGAAATGTACACAGCTCAATGCACTTTCACAAACTAAACATACCCGCAACCAGCACCCTGATGAGGAAACAACATTACTAACACAGTCAGAAACAGGGTGTGACAAGAAAGGCACTCATCTCCCCTATAAAATTTAAGCAGGGGTGGAGGGGGACGGCAGACTCTGTCATCAGGATAAATCATATTTTTAATGCAGTATTTTTGAAAAACCAGAATTAATGCAAAAAATCCATGATGACAAAATATCAAAATTTTAAATAAAAACAGGATTAGTAACATGCTGTGCTGAGTCATATTAAGGCTCGAGGCGAAATAAAAAAAATCAGTACTGCTGATCTGGTCTCCACCTGCCTCACCCTGATTACCAGCACCCGCCCCCAGAGTCACGACCCTCCCTTCCAAGGGTAAGTGCTGTTACCCCAGAGATAAGTTTTGCCTGTTTTTAAACTTTATACATATGAAATCACACTTTTGCACAGCTGCTGTCACTCAATATGATGTCTATGAGATTCAGCCATTATTGCGTGCCATGGAAAGATGTCTGAAGAAAGCAGTGATGTGGTCAGCTGTGCATTTTAAAGAGACCAGTGTAGTGGCAGGGAGAAGGATGAATGAACAGTGGTCCTAGCCTGTGCTGTAGGAGGGACTGTCTGCATGGAGAAGGCAGGCAGAGTCCACGGGATTGACTGGATATGGGGAATGAGGGAGACAGAGAGGGGTCAGGAAAGATACCAGATCTCTAGCTAGGGCAATTTGGTGGCTAGAGCAGCCATCTCTAGGGTGGGGACGGGAAGGGATGTGTAAAGATAATGAGTTCAGGTTTGAGCATGGTGAGTGTGAGGGACCTGTGGGACATCCAGAGGGCTGTGCTGGAGGCAGCTGGACAGAAAAGTCTGGTACTCAAGAGAGAAGGGAGGGGAATACATCCCCTCAATTCCCCCAGCATCAGCGAGCAGGTGGTGGCCCTGATAAGACCATTTGCAGAGGGTCAAGAAGGGGCATACAGAAGATAAAGAAGGGATGCCGAAAAGCTTTCTGGGAGCAGGTGGTTCAAGCAGGTATGCAAATCAGAATGAAAATATTAAACACACAAAACTGTCGTGCCTGGCCCATCAGGCCTTCCTGGAACCCAACACTGTGTTTACCTGCAATACAGGAGGATTTGAATTGCAAAACATCCTTCGGATTAGGGGCACTTCTGTCCCAGCCCCTGCTATCCCCCCTTATACCAGTTGCAGCTGACTCAGCAAAACCTTTCCTCCTGGCTGCCAGGGACACTTGCCTTTAAAGGCAACAGAATCTTTTCTCAGCCCGCCTTACTCACTCCTAACTCTGGAGCTGCTAAGACCCGCCCTGCATGGCCCTGCCACCACCACCACCACCACCCCTCCCCCACCCACTTGCGTGCTCTGAGGCACGCACTAGGCTCCAGCATCCGCCTGGCACCTGATACCTCCCTGCTAGCCAGTCCCAGACAGCTCTTTTCCTCCAGACTAGCTGGGGCTGGAACTGCTTAGAGTCGGACCCAGAAGAGGTCGAGTTCCATCCAGGACTAAAGGCAGCCTCCAGGGAACAAAGCTGTCACTGTGGGCGCAGACTAGGGAAGGGGCACCAGGTCATTCAAGCTGAATGCTGGGGCTCTACAGCCTCCTCACACCCCCTTTAGTGCCTCAGGTAGGGTAGGCCTGTGGGGACACTGAGGTTTCCTCAGGTCCTTCCCCTGCTCAATAACTCTCCATGGCTCCCCACTACCCACTGCATAAAGCCCTAACTCCTATAACCTGACATTTGGGAGCCTCTGTGATTCCACCTTCAGTCTCTGTGATTCCTTCAGTCTCTTCTCCTCCCTGAGCCCCCATCCCCCAGCCACAGGGGTTACTTAGCTGCCCCTCCTGCTCCCCTTTCCCCCTGCACCCGAATCTTCTCTGCTCAGATGCTATTTCCTGGGGGCTTCTCTAGGGCTTATTCCCTAGTTGGAGTTAAATTCTGCTTCCAAGGACTCAGCCACCCAAAAAACAAACCAGTCCACCTGAGAATCTAGTCAGTAGCTTCTGATGAATTTGCTTCTGACCAGTAGCCTCCAGGGGTCATAAAACATTCACAGAGAGGAACACAGAGAGGGTAATGGGGGTCTGTGTGTGGGCAGATGGGGTGGAGTGGGTGAAGGAAAAGCTTTTCTTCTGGCCACTCTGCTTGTTCCTCAAGTACCACCCTACCATGGGATGGGGGTTTGACCGAATTTCTCAAGTCAAGAACGAGCACAGGTTATGTAGCTAAGCCTTTATGAACATCCACTTTCCTCCAGGCCTACCCAGGAAGGCTTTATTATATCTATTTTACAGATGTGGGTCTTCAGGCTCAGAGAAGAGAAGCCATGGTTAGCCCATGAATGTCTGCAAGTAAATAGCAGAGCTGGGACTCCAGAGTCCGGATCTGGGGCTCCATCATCAATCTCTAAGAACGGCCCAGCGATTCTAAGGCCCCTAGGTCATCATTCTGGCAGTCTGCTGCCTTTGCACATGCTCTTCCCTCTGCTGAGAATGGCCTACCCTCGATCCATCTGGTGAACTCCTATTCAGCCTTCCAAACTCTGCTTAACATGACCTCCCCCTTCCCAGATACTCTCTCTACTCACTCTCCTTCCCCTGTGGTACAAGTTCTGCTCCTGTACAGATTCTTAACCCTCTATGCTTGACTTGGTACTGTTGCTGCTCATTTCCCCTCTTGCTCTCCCTCCAGCTTGGGGCCTCCATGAGGCTAACAACAGGGTCACATGTCTCTGTCCCTGGGAAAGTGGCCAGCATGGGGCTGGCCCAGAGAAGGACAAGGTGGCTGTTTGGTAAGTGTGACCCATGGGCTGAGTGAGGCAAACCCACAACTGAGAAAAGACATAGACAGTAGACTGGATGTGCTAAGAAACAAGGAGCTGTGGAGAGATTCTGAGCAGGGAAGTAGCAAAACCCAAACGGTACTTAAGGAAAGCCTGGACGTATCAGCAGGACAGACTAGAGTGGAAGGAACATTCGAGACAGGTAGATTAGCTGCTCACTCATTCGTGCATTCCCTCCCTCCTTCAATCATTCACCCACGTGCCTCAGCTGCAGAACTAGTCCTCGAGGTGCTCACAGGCTGAGGGAAGGCAGACAGAAGACAAGTGGCAACCTACAAAACACCAAATGGTAAAGGAGAGAAAGATTTCCACTTGGGAGAACCAGGGAAACTTCCCGGAGGAGGAAGGACCCATGGTGCTTTTTGGTATGCTGAGGTGGCGGGCGGGGGGATTCCCAGGCAGAGGAGACAAGCTGAGCAAGGGTGTGGATGTGAGTTGCTGGTGTGAGGGGCGAGGTTGAGTGTGTAAACTGGTGCCCCGAAGAAGGACCATGATGGCCAGGCTTGGCCCTTACTCCCTCCATGACAATTTCAGACAGATGAGCAGGAGAGTGCCAGGGTGCAGGACTGGAGGACGAAAGACCAGTGGAGATGTAGGCCCTGCAGACAGCAGGGGAGGGAAAGAGGATGAGGTGGTGTAGACAGCGGAGTCAGCAGGACTTAGTGGGCTCTGTCCAGGGGTGAGGAGAGAGGTGGCCCCAAGCTTTCCAGACTGAGCATAGAGAGACCATAGGAATTGAAGCCTTGGGCAGGGGGGTGCCCAGAATGCACCTGCATTCTGTTTCAGGGCTCCATACTCAACCAAGGTGCCCCTCAGCCAGAACTGGACACATTGCCAGAGAACTCCAGGGGTCATCTGGTCGGCTCAGCCTCCTGGTTTCCAATAGATAGTAAGCCTACCATGACTCCCTCCATCAGGAAAGGGACCCTCAAGATTTTGATCAGACCTTTGGACTGGGTGTCCTTCCCTTCACTGTGTCTCAAGCAAGACACTGGTCTAGAGGAAATAAGGTGAAGTCAGATGATAACAATACCACTACCAGTGCAGTGGCACATGCCTACACTCCCGGCTACTACGGAGGCTAAGGTGGAAGGATCACTTGAGCCCAGGAGTTCGAGACCAGCATTTATTTATTTACTAACAAAATAAATAAATAAACCAACAATACCACCAACCAGTAAATGAGAACTTCCATGCTAAACACTTCATGAGCTTATCTGGAAATTGCACCTCTCATGATAGCAATGAGATCGGTGTGAGAATTCCATTTACTCATAAGAAAACAGCCTCAGCCGGGCTCGGCGGTTTACGCCTGTAATCCCAGCACTTTGGGAGGCCAAAGTGGGTGGATCACGAGGTCAGGAGTTCAAGACCAGCCTGGCCAAAATGGTGAAACCCCGTCTCTACTAAAAATACAAAAAAATTAGCCGGGCGTGATAGCAGGCGCCTGTAATCCCAGCTACTCAGGAGGCTGAGGCAGAGAACTGCTTGAACCCGGGAGGCGGAGGGTGCAGTGAGCCGAGATCGTGCCACTGCACTCCAGCCTGGGCGACAGAGCGAGACTCCATCTGAAAAAAAAAACAAAAACAAAACTGAAAAAAAAAAAAAAAAACCGAAAACAGCCTCATTGGCCAGGAATTCGCCCAGGATCGCGGCCGGCCCAGTATACAGTTGAGCTGGTTTAAACCCAAGGTCTATCATGTCCTTAACGTCAGTCAGTTAGCCTGCCTTTCATATTTTACACACTTATAGGTCACCATAGACTCACCTGAACTGTGAGAAGTAGAGGAAGGCGTCCCACAGGAGGTGATTTTAAAGCCCAGGTTTGAGACGGGTATGCGTTTCTAGGCAGAGCCCGGCCGGTGCAAAAGCAAGGCTTGGCTCACAAACGGGAACGTGGTGGGTGGAGACAGGGAAGGGAAAAGTCAATCACTGGGCAAGACCTCCTGGAGTCTCTCTAACAAATAAATACTACTTTGCAGGCAGTAGACGCTGTTCTAAACACTTTACAAATATTAACTCACTTGGTCTTTCTATAACCCCACGAGGTGGTACTGTTACTATCCCTAGTGCACCGAAGTCACCCAGCGGCCGAGGGAGAACTCCAGTCCAGCTTTACACCCGCTACTCCGCGCATCCCAGCTTGCCTTACAGCCGGGTACCGGCTCCACCATTTTGCTAGAGAAGGCCGCGGAGGCTCAGAGAGGTGCGCACACTTGCCCTGAGTCACACAGCGAACGCGCTTCGCGGTCCCAACGCACAGAGAGGGCCGATCGGCAGCCTGAACGAGGCAGTGGTTGGGGGGCCCCGGCCCCGGCCCCTCCCCTAACCCCCTCCCCGCGGAGCACCACCCAGGACAGGCTGGGCCCCAAGCCCCGCCCCGAGGTCCTGCCCACACACCCCTGACACACCGGCGTCGCCAGCCAATAGCCGGGGTCCTATAAACGCTACGGTCCGCGCGCTCTCCCGCAAGAGGCAAGAGGTAGCACCAGCGAGCGTGCCGGTAGCTAGTCGCGGGTCCCCGAGTGAGCGCGCCAGGGAGCTGGAGACCAAGCGACGGGAGTCGGAGTCAGAGTCGCAGTCGGAGTCCCCAGACCAGAGCACGAGCCTGGGCCGGAGAGCGCCGCTCGCACGCCCGCCGCCACCCGCGTACTCAGCGCAGCCAGAGCCACCAGCTCAGCGCTGCCATGGAGCCCAGTAGCAAGGTGAGTCGCGCGCCCGCGGGCCCTCCCGCCGGGAACAAAGGCGCGGACTCCTGCCCGCCTTCCGCCGGCCAGGGCCTCCCCCGCCGCCCCGCCGCGCTGTGCGCCTGGGGCGGGCCGCGCGCCTCTCCGAGCCTGGCTGGGTGCGGGTCCCCAGCGCAGTGCCCCGCCGGGCCGCGCGCCGCAGTGGGAATGGGCTCCGGATCTAGCGGGCCGGAGGGCGCCGCGTGCGTAGTTGGCGCCGGCACCGAGCACGCGGCTTCTTTCCGGGGGCGCCGCGCCGTCCACGCGGCCCTGCTGGTGCTGGGGACACAGGGCCCGGGCGCTGCACGTCGCACACGACCTCGGCGGCGGTAGCCCAGCGTCGGCCCCTCCCGGTGCGGGGGAGGGGGCCCGAGCGCGGCGCCCATTGGCTGAGCGGGCCGAGCCCCCGGCCCAGCCCCGGCCCCGGCGCGCTGAGGAGGCAGGACCCGCCTCCGCTCTCCGCCGGCTCCCCTAACCCGGTCGCCCCAGTAGGTGGGCGGCCTGGTGCGAGATGTCCCGCCCGCCTACCCTACTCCTCCCGCCCGTCCCCCGCGGTGCCGAGGCCGAGGGGAGGGCACTTCTCTCCAGGCCCGGGCTCTAACGCGGGGGTTGAGATGAACCTCCGGTCTCGGAGGCTCTCCTTTCCGAGGAGTGTAGGCCCCAAAGCTTTGGCCCAGTCTCGCGGAGATGTGTTCCGCGGAGGCAGGTTTACCCTCGGAACCGGGCGGGGAGCGCAGCCGGAGGGACGGGGGATCCGGGAACCGGGAAAGAGCCCCAGGCTGAAGTCGAGCGGGAGGCACGCACACCACGGGGTTGGAGAATGAGGGATGGGGACTCTGGGGACCAACAACTGCCTAGATGGGATTTCTTTTTTCATGTGTAGACGGGCTTGTCCTGCAGGGCATCTTTCTAACTTCCGCAGAGCGATTTCTTTCCAACAAATGTTTGTGGAACCCCTCCTGTGTGTAGGGCGTTCTTTCCACCCTCCCTTCCTCCCCTAGTCTACAATCTTTTCAAGTGCCCTTTTTCTTTTGAAACGCTCCCTCTTTATTATACTTGGATTTTTCCATCTCAGCTGGGAAGGCATCTGGATGGCCCTTGTTTTCTTAGCTGGGACGCGGGGGTAGCACTGAATTCTGAACTGCCCTTCCTACTGGCTGTGGAGGTATCCCTGTGGGACTGAGAGGGGTGACGCTGGGCCGTACCCTAGGCGGGAAAAGGCCTTCCGCCCCACACCTGTTGAATCCATGAGTCCAGACGACTTGCTTCACCCTTCCCGCGCCCTCGCTTAAGGTGAGACCCCGAGGAAGTTCCCGGGGGAAGGCTCCCAGAATCCTACGTGAGCCATAAGGGTGGGATATAACTAAACGGAAGTTCAGCGAGAAGCTCTTTTAGCTAGTGGCAAGGAAGTCCAAATATCTCAGGGCTCTTGCAGGCAACTTCTGGGCCTCAGTTTTTCCATCTGAAAGATAGAGATCACTTTTGTCACTTCCTCTAGGGAAGGAACTATCTATTCAGCATGCTATGCCAGACATGGGCATTTATTTGTTGAGTGAATGAGTGAGTATTCTACGTGGAGACAGGAAAGTGGAGGAGAAAATCAACAGGTTCTTAGCCAAACTACTTTTCAGCGTCACGGACCATATAGCCCTGCTGGTTACTCACCAGCCTGGAACTCAGAGAAGGGAAACAAGTCTGCTAAAGTCACACAGCTAGCAAGTGGTTGAACTGGATTTGAACCCAGGCCCATCAGATTTAATTTCATTTGTGTCTCCACTGTCTCTCTTCACCACAGCATTTCTTGAATTTTAGGCAAAAGGGAGAGAGTTTGCTTACCTTCAAAGGTGGCTCCTTGTGCCAGCTGCTTCTAAATAGTGTAGCAGATGGGTGCTCTTCATGGAGTGCTCTCCCAATTTTCCACCGTCTACCTCGTCAGTAATTAATGTTGGAACACCTCTTTCACAGTGGTATATATGTATTTTTAAATTCATGCACGTGCACTTTGATACTAACAGATTATATGCTTTCACAAAATAGAAATTTCAAAAGACAAATAGATACAAGACGGCAGTTGTGGTCGTTTCCCCTCCAAATCTTGTGTAGATCATTCCATATACATTCTGGAATAAAGCCCTTCGCTTTGGAGACTGCTGAGTTGACCTGCAAGCACAACCTTTTTGTGCACAATGTTAAACTGAGGCCTGGAGAGGTCGCATCGCTTGCCTTTCACACAAGATCTGAAAATCAGGTGTGCCTGGCTCTAAAGCCTTGGTTCTGCTATGTTCCTCTTTGTCTCCTAGGAAATGGGAACTGACTTAACTAACTTCCCCGTGTTCCATTGTGCTCCTCTGTAACTCATAGTAATGAGCTTAACCAAATAGGAAGTAGGGGACAGATGGAATCACCTCGCCTCCAAGCCAGGGGTTCGCCCACAATCCCTCCTGGGCAGCACCAGCACGCAAGAGTGAGCCCTGCCCCAGATGTCTCACCCTACCCTTCGTGAAGAACTTGTAACTAGCCTTGCCTATGCCCATCACTCATCACTTTTCTGGCCAGTCTCTACCTTCCAGAAAAGGAAAAATCAGAAATCCGCGGCATCCTCAGCCCCTCTATGGTGCAGAGAGCATAGTTTTTTGTTTTTTGTCCTTTTTGAGACGAGGTCTCACTCTGTCACCCAGGCAGGAGTGCAATGACACGATCTCGGCTTACTGTAACCTCTACCTCCCAGGCTCAAGTGATTCTGTCACCTCAACCTCTTGAGTAGCTGGAACCACAGACGCACGTCACCATGCCCAGCAAAATTTTTGTGCTTTTGGTAGACACGGGGTTTCGCCATGTTGCCCAGGCTGGTCTCGAACTCCTGAGCTCAGGTGATCTGCCCGCCTCAGCCTCCCAAAGTGCTGGGATTACAGGCATGAGCTACTGCGCCCGGCTGAGCATAGGTGTTTGCGTATGTGGTTTTGACTCCCAGCTTGCCTCAGTTGCCCAGCTTTCATCATTACAGTGTCTAGGAATTCAGAAAAGAATGTATGTCTCTGTCCCCATAGATGCTCCATAAATATTTCTTGCTTCCTTGGACTCCCGTGATGCATTGCACTTACCTGGGCCGTGGGTGACCTGTACCTGGGCCTTGGCCTTTATCTAAAAGCTGGCATTCTGGCAGTATGAGCTTTTGGGGAGTCAGGATGCTGGCCCGTGGGTATTAAGTCAGGTAAATCATTAAAGCTCCCACTAACCCATTCTTCCTAATAGGGGCTTGTCAGGAAGTGAGTAGGGATGGCACATGGGTGAGAGTGCCAGGCCAGGGAGGGTCCGCTCATGTGAGTGCCCTGTGCTACTTTGGGCTTCTTTGCTTTGCCTTTTTGCCTTAGGCTGCCTGCCTGCCTGCCTTTCTGAATTTGGGTCACCCTTGGGATAGTTTGAAAGGGACATTCATGTCCAGTAACTCCTAGGCTCTTCACAACTGCCCTGTGATACAAGTTACAATGACCTCATGGTCCAATAAAAAATGACTTTGCGAAGATCACACACTGAGCCTCCCACCCCAAGACATGCTGCCAGCCTTTCCAGGATGACATTAGAGGGTGGAAGGAACCCAGAGCAGGAGGGGCCTTCCAGCCATGGCCCAGCCCTCCATTTGACAAATGGGGAAACTGAGTCCAGAGAAGGGAAGAGATTTGTCTGAGATAAGGCTATCACAAAAGATTTCAGGCGTTCTACGGAGCTGTGTTTTTGTTTGTTTGTTTGTTTTTGTTTGTTTTTTGTTTTTTTGTTTTTTGAGACTGAGTTTCGCTCTTGTTGCCCAGGCTGGAGTGCAATGGCACGATCTCGGCTCACCACAATCTTCGCCTACCAGGTTCTAGTGATTCTCCTGCCTCAGCCTCCCGAGTGGCTGGGATTACAGGCATGTGCCACCATGCCTGGCTAATTTTTTTGTAATTTTTTTGGTAGAGATGGAGTTTCTCCATGTTGGTCAAACTGGTCTCGAACCAGATCTCAGGTGATCCACCCACCTCGGCCTCCCAAAGTGCTAGGATTATAGGTATGAGCCACCGCGCCTGGCCTAGCTGTGTTTTTCTTAAAAGATGCTTTCTTCTGCACACGCCTGTCTGTGCCATCCTCCACCCACCCCCAAATGAGCAGGAATCCCCAGACACAGGACTTGCCCATGTT